ATCCCCCCACTCACCATCATGAACATCACTGTGGCTTCAGTAGAGTCATTCAGGTTCCTGGGCACAATCATCTCTCAGGACCTGAAGTGGGACAATCACATCGACGCCATCGTTAACAAGGCCCAACAGAGATTGTACTTCCTTCGCCAGCTGAGGAAGTTCAACCTGCCACAGGAGCTGCTGACACCGTTCTGGTTTGGCTCAGCTACAAAATCAGACATTAGAAGACTACAGAGGACGGTTCGGACTGCTGAGAGGATTATTGGTGCCCCCCTGCCCACCCTTCAAGAACTGTATATATCCAGAGTGAGGAAAAGGGCTCAGAAAATCACTCTGGATCTCTCACATCCAAGCCATCTCCTTTTTGAACTCTTCCCGTCTGGCCGGAGCTACAGAGCACTGAACACCGAACCAGGATTGCCAGACAAAAGAACAGTTACTTTCAGCCACAAGAAACTTTCTTTCTTTCTTTCTTTCTTTCTTTCTTTCTTTCTTTCTTTCTTTCTTTCTTTCTTTCTTTCTTTCTTTCTTTCTTTCTTTCTTTCTTTCTTTCTTTCTTTCTTTCTTTCTTTCTTTCTTTCTTTCTTTCTTTCTTTCTTTCTTTCTTTCATATTATCTGTGTGTTGTTGTTATTGTCTCTGTGTGCTGGAAGGTTCTGTCACCAAAACAAATTATTTGTATGTGCATGTATATATATTTGTATGTATAAATAAAATATTTAATAATTTTTGTTTTATTTTATATTTTATTTTATTTTACTGTATAGACTTAAACTATATGGTAAAATATAAAAAGTTTACATTTTTAGAGAATAATCACACAATACACTACACGATTTTATTTTTCTATATTGTTTTTTAAACAAAAAAAATTATATTTTTCAAAACAGCTATAGAAGTTAGAGAAAAAAGCTTGAAAATCAATTTAAAGTTATTACATGAAATTATTTTAAGTACATTATTAGTGTTGGATTTAGAAAAATCATTGTAATTACGAATACCATAGTAAAAGTTATTATTTACACATTTAAGATTGAAGGATCAGGTTGGATTTTTTGGGGTGAATGTTAATGATTTTTATTTAATGTTTTATTTAATTAGTTACATTGCATTTACGTTAATACAGCATTAGTTAACAAATAATGCATAATGAATACATAATACTGTTGTTCATTATGTTGTTTTAGATGTAATGTTTTATTTTTTATATATTTTATTTAAATTTACTGTGTAGTCTTTAACTTCATGACTACATTTAAAAATGCATCTATAGGGAATAAAGTCATAACAGACTTTATTTTGGTATATTGTTTTGTAACAAAGAATGTGTATATTTATTAATACAGCAACAGAAGTTGTAGAAAAAAAATACATGTAAAAATAATTTTAAAGTTATTATTTTATTTAGGTACATTTTTGGTATTGGGCTTAGATAAATGCTTGCAATAAGATATAGTAAAAGTCATTATTTACACGTTACACGTTGGTTGATTTGATGCCGTTTGGTGAATGTATTTTTTTTTTCTCAAATATTCATGTCAGGTTGATTTTTGGGGTGAATGCTTAGTGATTTTTTCTTAATTTTTATGTCGCATTGTGGTTTCATTCCCTTGCTTATGTTTGTGTGCTTCTCATTCAGATCCCGAACCTGGCTGAAGGAGTCCGCATCCACGGCCAGAAGGTGACGGAGGCTCTTCGTCCGTTTCACGAGCGTTTGGAGGCGTGTTTCAAACAGCTCAAAGAGAAGGTGGAGAAGCAGTACGGCGTCAGAACACTAGTGAGTCCCAACAGACAGTCACTTTCCAAACAAACTGAGCCTGAATCATCATGCATCACGCCTTCATCATTCACTCAGCCATAAACATCAGCATTCATGCATTCATTTGTCATCATTCACAGATGTTGTTCATCACAGCTCGCTTGCATGCATCACATTGCCTCAGGATGGACTCTTACCTCACAATACAAACAGATCACTATGAACTATTTACACATTCTCTTTCTGATTTATGTGTTGCATGTTTGTCTGCATTTGTCTTTGTTGGATCTTGGTTTCCTCTTTTGGTTTCTTCCTCACTATCTTGGGACCTTGTTTTGACTTGCTTGTTGGGGAATATAATGCATTATTATTTAAATATGCTGCTTTATAAAGATAAGCTGCTTTAGAATATATACTGTGAAAAACACTACAGAAATTTTGAACTGAATAAAGTCATGGCAGCTGTTCGATGATTACGGGCATTGTACAATTGCAGTTTTAAATGCTTTCACTTGCTTTAATAGAACTGGAAGAATCTTGCAAATTTTTCAAAGTCAACTATAAAAATCCTAACAGTCACTCATAGTATTATCAGGCTGAATGCTTTTTTTTGTCCGCTACTTCATGATAATATGCATGCAAAAATAAGCACTTTTTTAGAATCTTTAACAACTTTCTGTTCAAAATTAAGTCATTAATTATTTTTAATAATATGAAAAAAATTACACTATTTTAGTGAGAAAAATTTTTTGGAATAAAAAAAATAAAGATAATTGCGACTTTTTATTTTATTATATAATTTTTTATTATTATTATTAAGATTCCTCTTTTAATCAGTGGTATTATGTTGTTAATCAAACTGTGATAGGTTTCTCACCAAAATTGTCTTGGCCTGTCCTGGTAATTTTTTGTAACACCTGCCACCAACTTAATCATGCAGTTCATCAGTGCTGTTATTGGGACTCGTTACCTCTTTAACAACTTTCTGTTCAAAATTAAGTCATTAATTATTTTTAATAATATGAAAAAAATTACACTATTTTAGTGAGAAAAATTTTTTGGAATAAAAAAAATAAAGATAATTGCGACTTTTTATTTTATTATATAATTTTTTATTATTATTATTAAGATTCCTCTTTTAATCAGTGGTATTATGTTGTTAATCAAACTGTGATAGGTTTCTCACCAAAATTGTCTTGGCCTGTCCTGGTAATGTTTTGTAACACCTGCCACCAACTTAATCATGCAGTTCATCGGTGCTGTTATTGGGACTCGTTACCTTTTAATTAGGTCTAACAGCGCTGACAAAAGAGCACACCAGTCACTGCTACATTTAATTTACTTAACAAAAACACCCTATTATTATTATTTAGGATGACCTTGTATGAAATGAGAAAGATTACTTATGAAGTTACTTCATACAGCATAGTTTTAATAGATGATTGATGAGTCTCATTTTCATAAACCTTTAGTTTGAAATGCTCTTGCAATTGTACAGTTTAAAACATCTCATCTTTTTCCTTATTCACATCTGGTTGCTGTGGAAAATCATGTGTGTAGCACAAACAAATAGATTTTTAATTGTATTAATGGTATTGATAATTGATATATCAAATATTGTTTTCAATGAAGATTTGTCTTGCTTTTTGCAGAGCATATTTTAACATATTTAATATTTAAATATACTTTATATACATATATATATATATATATATATATATATATGCATTTTTACTGCATTTGGTGCCAAAAACCTTAACTTACATGAATGCAGTCTGGCATTACATTGTCTTAAGTGAAAAAAAAAAATGTAGCGTTTCCTCAGCTGTATTTTGAGATGCACAGGGTCAATGTGAGTCTTTGTAACCGTGGGAAAGACGTTCCCAAACACACTGTACAGAATCGCGCCTCTCCTCTGGTCCGAACAGACATGCTGAGATCCCTGACAGGAGAATGCTGGGAGTCCTTAGGAGGGAATGAGAGACGGGGACAAAAGAGTGAGGCAGACAGGTAGAGAAAGAGAGCAAACGTGTGAGAAAGATCTGTAGCTGGTAGATATTGATTGCCGTGCTCTGCGAAGGTGCTAGAATTAGCAGCGAAGTGTGTGAAAGACTGAGAATGTGATCTGTGCTGCATATCTGTTTCAAGGACAGCTCAGGGCTGTGTGACCGAGAGGAGGAGGATAAGGATGGTATGAGTGATTCATATATTCACACATATATGAGATTCACACACACAAAGAGGGTCACATGAAAACAAGCAATGGGAATAAGCAAAAACATACTCACACTATGAGTTTGGCATTTGCAGCAGGGATCTACTATTATATTGCTGTCTGTCTAGTCAGTGAATGGTCTGAACTCTTTAAGGGCATCTGAAAATTAGTAAATTAACATATATTGTTACTCATTTCACGTGGACAGAGTTTAGGCAATCACAACACAGTGTCAGAGAGAGGGGAAAATGCTCGTCAAAACTTAATTATGACTATTTTTGGTGCAAGAAAGTGTTGAATATGGCCTCTTTTAAAGAATTGAATGTTGTGATGTGTTCGTGTGTGTTTCAGCCTCCCACGTCGGACGAGCGGCGGGGCAGTCGGCCACATTCAATGGTTCGGTCCTTCACCATGCCGTCATCTCAGAGGCCGCTGTCTGTCGCATCTGTGACCTCCATATCATCAGAAAACTCTCCCTCCAGACCGGGATCAGACGGGTAAACACACACACACACACACACACACACACCATCCAGACTAGTGCTAGAGCAATGTATCTGCAGATATTTCACCTTTCTTTCTTTCTTTCTTTCTTTCTTTTTTTCTTTCTTTTTTTATTTAATCTGTTTATACATAGTTTTTGGAAAAAAAATTAATGCTTTTATTTAGCAAGGATGCATTAAATTGATCAAAACTGACAGTACAGACATTTATAATATTACAAAAGATTGCTATTGCAAATAAATGCTGTTTTTTATTTTTTATTCATCAAAGATTCCTGAAAAAAAAGTCACAATTTCTACAAAAATATTAAGCAGCACAAGTGTTTATAACATTGATAATCAGAAATGTTTCTTGAGCAGCAAGTCATCATATTAGAATGATTTCTGAAGGATCACGTGACACTGAAGACTGAGTAATGATGCTGAAAATTCATCTTTTCATCTCAGGAATAAATTACATTTTAACAGAGATTCAAATAGAAAACACTTATTTTAAAATGTAATAATATTTTACAAAATTACTATTTTACTATATTTTGCCTTGGTAAGCAATAAGAGACTTCTTTCAAAAAATATTAAAAATCTCACTGATCCCAGTAGCATACACACGTAGTATTTAATATTTATATTAAATAATGTTTAATGAAAAATATATTAAATATATTTTGACATGTTAAAAGCTCAAAGAATTGTAATTTTCTTTCTATATATATATATATATATATATATATATATATATGTGTGTGTGTATTAATTTTGTTTTTATTTTACTATTGCAAATGAAAAGATTTTTTGTATAGAACTTGTTTAATGAGAGAACTAAATGTAAATGTTTAATCAAAAATATATAAAGTATATTTTTGAAATATATTACAAATGCAACAAATTTTATTTTAACTTTATATTCATATTTATATATCTCAAATAAGATGTAAATAGTTTAATTGTTCATTTAGCTAATAAGTACAAATAATGATGGAATATAAATCTCTCTTGATATCAGCATCAGCCATTGAAAAAGACCTCTGTTGAACAGGCTGGATTCTTGACCGTGATTTATTTTCTTCTTATAGCCGTTGGAGGAGTAGTACAGAACATTTCCTCGGTTAGAGTGACTTTTCTGATTTCCGTAATGCAGCTTTTTGTCATTTCCATCTCGTCTCTCTGTAGGCGGTCTCTTCCCATTCACACACTTACAGCCGTAATGCACCGAATCACCTGCTGATTCTCCAAGAAGATCATCTTATTGCACTTTGAGAAGTTCCTTCAGTTCAGACAGAATCAGCTGATGCAGTCAGATGGGTTTATATGTGTAAAATAAACATGAATTCACTTGAACTGCGCTTTACTCGGTCTCTTTACCCTGTCAGGTTGGTGGCAGTGTAGCGCGGTGGACACACAGATGCCAGCCAGAAGCATTAATCAGTGCGTGTTTGAAGAAAGTGATTCTATCAGCGATACCCTCCGCTGCGGTTTAATTGTGAAGGGCAGCACTTCACGAGAGCTTTCATTTGATTACTTAATCCAGCTCATTAAAGCGCTTTGATTCGCTTGAGCCCGAGATTCTGATTATGAGATCCGGAGATTCTGCTTCGCTTTTTCGTTGCTTTGCACTTTACAAAACTGCCTGCGAGTCTCAATGTCGGCCAGGTCAGCAGATATGAAACACTCTCACACACACTTTAATGCAGAGATATTTTGGCTTCTACAGGAGCGTGTTTGCATGGATGATGTACGATTTCTCTCCAGTTTTTAAGAAACTAGTTTGTTCTGAGCTTTGGACCTGAAATCCAATAGTGATGATGACAGTTTTTCTGTCTGGGTTCACATACGTTTGTGCTAACAAAAACACTTACTGTGGTTTTCATTTACTTTATGAAACGGCAGATAAGGATGGAGTCGGCGTGAGAGCGTTTCGAGTCAGTGCTGCTGCATCTTACGTTCATCAATCATGTGCTGTTGTGCTTTGCAAACTTGGAACATTTGGTTTTCTGTGATTTATTAACCACTGTTATTGCAGATGTTGTTGATTTAAATGTTATTTGGGTATCATTAGCTTGTTGGCACAATGTTTTCTCAAAAATACGAAATTGATTTATGTATGTTGATGCATCAGTTAGACTGAGTTAAATCATAAACAAAGCACTGTGTTATTTTTTAACAGCTTAATTTATAGCTGGAATATGTATATTATATTCCAGCAATTACAGCAAACTAAGGACATTCAGGAACTTGTTTAATGGGAAAAATATATAAATATTTTATGAAAAACATAAAATAAAACATGCTAAAAAAAAATATATATTTTTTTTTTTCATTTTTGAAATTAATTTTTGTTTGTTTAATATTAATTAATGTTTAAACAAATGTTTGTTTAATATTAATTAAAATATTAATTTAATTAATAATATTTGAATACTTTTAATTTTAATATTACAATTTTTTAATTACAAACTTTTTTCTTCAGAAAATGTGTTTAAAGAAAATATAAATGTTCAATTCAAAATATGTAAAATATATTTCAGGCATATATTAAAAATGCAAAGAATTTTATTTCTGTATTTATATCTATATTTTTTGTCATTTTATTATACTAATAAAATGCAAATGAAAAACTGTTGTATAAAACTTGAAAATGAAAAATATATAGTTGATTTCTTACTTGTATAAAGTTAATTTCTTATATCCATCTTAAAAATGCAAATAATTTTATTAGAATTTTAAATGTATATTTATTTTAATGCTTTTTTTTTTTTCATTGATTGATTGTGGTGAGGCCTGTGAAAATATAGCTAAGTACAAATATGAACAGCTCAGCTGACCAAGCCAGCAGAAAAAAAATTATCCCCAAGATTGAGCCCTGATCTCTGAAATAACATGTTATAAAAATATAATGTATCATTTTCAATTAACTAACACGGTTGGTTGCCATGACACTTGAGACTGTACACCAGAAACGTGCTTTTGTGTTTAAAGTTGGAGCTAAATGTCAAATGAGTGCTAATATTTGCTCAAGACCTCATAAGAGGCTTCTCTGTGATATTAAACATCCCAGCAGTCTTATCCAATACAACACACCCGCCGCTCCGTTATCTCCGTCCTCCTCTCTTCATTTGATTCCTCTTCTCTCCTTCATCTGATAGATTTGCCTTGGAGCCTCTCTTACCAAAGAAGCTGCACTCTAAGTCTCAGGATAAACTGGATCGAGACGAACCTGAGAAAGACAGGAAGGAGAAGAAGAAAGAGAAGAGGAACAGTAAACACCAGGAGCTGTTTGATAAGGAGCTGAAGACGGCTGAGATCCCGCTGCAGCCCAGCGAGGCGGTCATTCTGTCAGAGACGGTGAGTATCTGTCCACACAAATCCATTCACAAATAAAGACTTTCCTCTTAGCCAGGACAAGTTTCCAGTATCAGTCACTGAAAGTAAACTTACTGCATCAGGCATCCAATCACAATTAGAAGTAGAAAGCAAAGACAAAATGTTTGCTTTTGCGGCTGCATAAAAAGAAATGTTGAAAGTAAAATAAAGAAGAACATGCAACATATCTGGCTTGCATTTCACCCCGAAATCAGAAAGGAAAGAAGGAGATGGCGTCTATAATCTAACAGCATTAAGATGATGTGCATTGCTTTGTTATTTTCAAGACAATTTAGTGCATTTTTACTTTTGATTTTTGTAATTCTCATTATTTCCATTACTGTGATGCAATAATTTTTTAAATAATGTCATGTAAGTGGAAAAATCATAATCCTTCATTTTTCATCACAAAAAGAAAATATCAAAATTTAATTCCCCCCCCTCTGATTTAAAACTTTAATTTAAAAAATGAAATAAAAATAAAAAATTGGATAAAAAAATAAATCAATTGAAATATTGCATTGCCAACTAACTGAAATAAAGCAAGTTGAAGTGCTGAAATTATTAAAACTTCAATAGATTTAAAAAAGCAGAAACTATAAAAATTACAAGAATATTTACTAAAATTAAAATGAAAAGAGAAAATCTTAATAAATACTATAATAGTAATAGTAAATATAATATAATAGTAAAATAATACTAAAATGACACTGATTCCCTGAAATTTGATCTGTGTTCTTGACAGGTTTGTGATATTCACATGATTTGGATGCAGTGTAAACCGAAAGACTCTCATTTGTTTGCTTTCCATTTTAATGAATCCTTCCTAGAGCAGTCCTTTTCATCTTTTTGTTTCTGTTTTTGAGGCTGTGTGTGAAATGAGGCACGCGTCTGAATCTGCACTTCAAGCTCTTTGAATATGAATAGCAAATGCACTCAAGCAGCTCTAGAACAAACAGCACGTAATAAGAATAAATTGACCCATTCAGAGCGTCTCTGACTTCACTGACTAATGTGGCATCGTGAGGGAAGTGCGTAACCTCACCATTCTGAATAAAGAAAAACTAGCGCACATAATTACTCGGCCCTGGACCTTCTGCATAGTTTGTCTTTTATAAATCATCATAATGACCTTGACCCTTTCTATAGGCTGCTGACCTCTGCGATTCACAGCCAGCCGATAAAGCAAGAGCTGAAAAATCTGATTTACTGCCTGATTAATCTGTCATGTTGATAACAAGCCCGCCTGGGTCATTTTTTACATCTTTAACGATCATTTTTTAATTGTTAATGTCCTTATCTGATGAAGGACAAAGAATATAAATGTTTAAATAAATGTGTGTGTGTGTGTGTGTGTGCGTGCGCGAATACATATATTTTTATGTTTTATTTATTTTATTATTGTTGTTTTTTATCTGATGCCAAAAGTATCTTCCTGTTAAAAATATGAATTTTTTAAATATTTATTTTAATTTCATTGACGATTCTGAGCAGCAGTTTACACTGCAGAAGTGTTTATAAATGTTTCAAATTTGTAAATATTGTATTAAAATTTAGAATTGGAAGTTACATGTTAATGCACATTTTCAGCACTTACCACATTAGCATAAAAGTTACTTCACTCAAATGATATGCAAAATCTAAAATGAGAAGACTCATTTTAAATAACATTTTTGTCATGATACAAAACTGGTTCAAACTAAACCTGCTCAAATCTGCACTGGCGTTACCTTCTATATGGATGTAAATTTTGCATCGTGCCCTATGTAGATGAGTGAAGCAGGTTCAAATGTGTCGGCAAGTTCAGGGTGACACAGAGTGACTTATTATTTGGCCGCCTTTGAAGTTTATTCTACTGATCGTATATTAATGATGGTCATTTACAACTGGAATAATTCATAAGCCTGCTGAATTATGCATTAGATAAACCTGTATGCTCATGGAAATGGACCTGAGCTGTTTGAATTGCTGTTCTTTACTCTTTTACTCACCCCCCCCCATTTCACGTTCTATTTCCATGGTCACATTTATTCTTGATTTATGGAAACCTTTCATTGGTGATTCCCAGGAAGCGCGGTTCTCTCTGTAATGTTAATCTGTCATGTTTTCCTCTCTCCAGATCAGTCCATTGAGGCCCCAGAGGCCCAAGAGTCAGGTGATCAGCTTGCTGGGCGAGAAAAGGCTCTCGGTGTCTCCGGGAGCCCCTGCCAACCCGTCTGCGCCCAGCATCCCACCTCCCATCACGCCCCGGGCCAAACTGCAGTTCAGCTTACTGTCTGGATCCAGTATGTCATACTTCACACTGATCTGCCATTTTCCCCTCAAGCTTTATTTCGAAACATGATGAAACTGGGCCAGTTTTACTAAAGCAAGCAAGGATAAAAAGTTGATAGTTGAAAAGTTTACAAAAAGATCTGGCTATTTTGGGAAGAAAGCCACTCCACAACATTTATATGTAATTCAAAATCCAGAGCTGACATTTTGGCATCATTTGAATAAATGAAGCTGAAAGACTGCTGTAAATACGAGAAATGATCTAATCAATCACACATCTGAACACCTGCATGCTTACAGCAGTCTGCATATTTGAAATAATAGTAAATAAAAGAAAACTGGCTTTGATGTGCTGAAATGCAGCAGAACTAGTTTTGGCATCACATATTTTCCTCTGGTGTTGTTTCATCAGCGTAATTCATTATACTTTAGCTGCTGGAACAAATAGAGTTGTTGACAATTATCCAAGTCCTTCAGTCTGATTTGCATTTATCATTTAAAGGTTTGGGGTTGGTAAGATTTTGTAATGTCTTTGAGAGCAGTTGCTTATGCTTACCTAATAATTTGGTTAAAAATACAGTAAATTTTTTAATAGTTTTCTATTTGAGTATATTTTAAAATGTTCTGTAATGAATAGAAATTTCAAAAGAACAGTATTTATTTGAAATTTCTTTACTTTCATTTTTGATCAGTCAATTTAATCAATTTAATTTAGCATCCTTGCTATTAATTTCTTTAGAAAAACCTCTCACTGACCCCAAACTTTTGAACTGTAGTGCATGTAGTAGTTGTACAGTAGTGTCATTTGCATACAATTATTTTCATTTTAATATTAGCTGTTTTTGATGTGTAAAAAAACTTTTACAGTATTTTTCTTTATATAAATATTTTTTCTTCATTTTCCTCATGGAAATGAATGACTTGCTGTGGGAATTTCTTTCTCCCACATTACCAGCTTGTCTATAAAACAGGACATATCAGGACAAACTCTCAAGGATTTATTTATGGACCCAGAAACATTTTTACAATCTTTATCAAGTACATGTAAAGAATCTTTTTTATAAAATTGTATCAAATGTTTGTTTTACTTCTTTTGCATTTAGGATATTATGTTGCTGAATGTTTTATTTGTATCTGCCATGTAACAGCCGGTGAATTTAAATAATTGAAATAACCCTCAAAATACGACACGTTTGCTGACGTGATCTGCTCTGTCTCATGCTGTAGTCTGATGACACACAAACATAACGCTGTGGTGTGAAACGCAGGACTCTGGGAGGCTGCAGAGGTGTTAAAGAACGCAGATGAAAGCGTGTCTGATCTGGTCTCCCAATCGCCGCTTGTGAAGACGTGTAATGGATTCAGACTCTAGTGCGAGGCGTTTACTCTCCCATGGGTTCAGCCCACTGTCTGAATTCTGAGTTTGCACCGCATGTCGTCATCTGTGCTAGAACCACTCCTCAAACAACAGATTTACAATCAGTTTAATCTTTTAAAAAGGATTTAGGCAAAGTAACAGTGTCATGCATCATAATATTGATCTTAACAGCGCTTTGTCTTGTTTCTACACAGATCTGGAGCTGAATGGGACGGGTTATGGAGATAAGGGCGAAACTCCGCCCCCACTTCCTGTCAAGAGCAGCATGGGCGACTATGGAAACCTGATGGACAACTCAGACCTGGCCAGTCCGACCACGCCCCCTCCTCCACTGCCACACCAGCGGGTATAGCACATCGTCCATATCCATCAAAGACCGACATACATGTTTATGCAGCGCTTTACTGCTTGATCTTCGTTTCCATTATTTTTACATGACCATTAGTGGTTAAAAATCCATTAAGAAGTCTATTCCTGTTGTTCAGCTCTGAGGATTGTCAGGTGACTGCCTTCAGAGACAAAACAAGTAGAAGAAGTGTAGTGTTATATTGAGGCTGTTGCGGCGGCAGTGTTTGTCAGTGTACTGAATGCTGACGCAGTGAGACTCTTCTCATCGCAGATGTCTGAAAGAACAGTGTGTGAAGCGGTCAGGATGTATGTGTCGGTCAAACGGAGCTTGACCAGAGCAGCTGAAGATGCCCTTGATCAGCTGCTCGTCTCTGGGTCTCTTTCTCTCTGCAGGCTTTTGCTTTTAAGAAATCCCAGATACTGTTTAATTAACCCATAACCTGATCTTCTCTGCCGCTGCTGGAAGTTCCGTCAAATGTCAGTGTTAAAGGTTGAAACAGCTTGAAGTTCTTTGCTCCAGGACTACTATTATTTTATGATACACTTAATGTTCAAAAGTTTGGGTCAGCAAGATTTTGTTAATGTTTTTGAAAGAAGTCTCTTATGCTCAACAAGGCTGCATTTATTTGATCAAAAATACAGTAAAAAAAAAACCGCTAATATTGTGAAATATTTATTGCACTTTCAAATAACTGTTTTCTATTTGAATATACTTTAAAATGTCATTTATTCCTGTGATGCAAAGTTTAGTTTTCAGAAATCATTCTAATGTGCTGATGTGGTGCACAAGAGACATTTCTTTAATAATTTTATGGAAACCATGAACAGCATTTATTTGAAACCGAAATCCTTTCATGTCTTTCAATGCATCCTTGCTGAATTAAAATATTCATTTCTTTTTTTTTTAATCATACTGAACCCAAACATTTATAAAATGTTTATATTTTCCACTTTTTTTCTCTATTTTTTATTGTTTTTACTGTATTATCAATTCAATCACTTATTATTATTACTCATAGTTACTTAAAGTTGTAGTTTAGACATATATTTAATAAAAATATATTACATTGATAATATGTGACCCTGGAGCACAAAACCAGTCTTAAGTCGCTGGGGTATATTTGTAGCAATAGCCAAAAGTCAAAATGATTGATTTTTCTTTTATGCCAAAAATCATTAGGATATTAAGTAAAGATCATGTTCCATGAAGATATTTTGTAAATTTCCTACTGTAAATATATCAAAACTTAATTTTTGATTAGTAATATGCATTGCTAAGAACTTCATTTGGACAACTTTAAAGATGATTTTCTCAATATTTAGACTTTTTTGCACCCTCAGATTCCAGATTTTTAAATAGTTGTATCTCGGCCAAATGTTGTCCTATCCTAACAAATCATACATCAATGGAAAGCTTATTTATTCAGCTTTCAGATGATGTATAAATCTCAATTTCGAAAAATTGACCCTTATGACTGGTTTTGTGGTCCAGGGTCATATATATGAAAAGGAACTATATACAGTATATATACATGTATTTCATTCATTGTTGCTTTCATTTATCAGTCATATCAAGAGACCAGATTATCACAGAGACTTTATTTTTATTATTTACTCAGTCTCTATCACTCTATTATTACTGCTTAAAGTAATATATGAAAAGGAACAAAATATAAATATTATAAATAAAATATTAAAATAACTCGTGTTTTAAAAATGTCACTTCTCTTTTCCTCATTTTCCCAGCACCTTCCGCCTCCGTTACCCAGCAAGACCCCTCCTCCTCCCCCTCCAAAGACCACTCGAAAGCAGACCTCCACTGATTCGGGAATCGTCCAATAAGCGAGAAGACTGCATCGTCAAACAGAGACATCCGCATTGGCCCTCTTCCAATGATTTTACGTCAACATTCCTGACAGTATGGCATGATGAATACCTCACCTCAGCCCCGCTCATAACGGCTGATTATTGTCCACTGCCAGATCACCACTCTGAGCCTCCACCCCAGTGACAATACAAGCTCGGAGACGCAGTCCATTTCACATCACTCCAGGCGTCAGACCACAGCACATATAGATGCAGTGTAACTGGAGTCAGGGAATTCTGGGTACTTTTGGCAGATGATGCATGTTTAACTAAAGCTCCACTTGAGATGAATTGAGGGTTTTCTCTCTTTAGGCAGGAAGACACTTTTTATGCACATTATCGTTGAGACACGTGACCAATTCAAACCATTTTGGTGTCGCATAATCAAAGTTTCCTTTTTCTCTCATTTTTACATGATATTTTTATCCTCAATATTTACACATTTATGTACAGAGGTTTGTATATATGATTTTATTTTGTTTTCTTGAAAGTAAATTTTATCTTTTTTTTTTTTTTTAATTGACCGTTTATAAAAATTGGCATTTTATCCAAAAAAGGGCTTAATTATTATTATTTTTTTAGAGAGGGACAGTAAAGATATTCTTACGTGTATCTTTTATTGATTTTGTGTTGTTGTTCGTTCTCACTTGGAGTGAAAACAACTAAAAGGCATTGTACCAATCAAGCATATAATCCACATAAAAGTATATCGATAACATTGACTGCTCCAAATCCACTACTGACTTCTGAATAAACTCAATCTATTTGTAAAGTGCCTCTCGTTTGTTGCTAATTAATCCAGTGCAATGTAGACATTTAGCAGATATCAGGTTTGTTCTGTCAGAATGGCATCATCCAATAAGGCTCTCTGCTGTTTGTGATGTTACCGCAGGTTAACCAATGCAAAGCAAGTCAACGCTGTCTGGAAAGTGAGGGAAGTTGAGTCTGAGGTGAGTTCATTTATTAAATCACTGCTTGTTGAAACTGACTCATAAGCTCAGTGATCAAGTCCTTTCGTTTGCTACGTTTTCCATTTAGCCTTTTAGTATAACGTGGAGCTGAATCTCAATGACATTGATTGTGAAAATGGCGGACATGTTTGCATCATAAAGACTGCCAGCTTTCACTTTACTAAAAGGGTTTTGAAAATAGCAAAGCCTTGCATTGACTCATACATGCATAATCAATGCAGCATCTGTTATGAGCTGAGGGAGTAAATATGCTGGAGAACATGTTTTGTATGTTCAAGGTCACTTTCGTCGCACATCCAGTCAGAATTACTGCTCTAGTCTGTCAGTCAGCTGATTTACTGTAATTATGATGTTCGTTATGAAGTAATTGGTCTTAAACATACAGCACTCACCATCTAAAAACAGCAAATTATGCAAATCACACTGGGTTGGGTTTTTGTGCTTGTTTGGTGTTTGTTACATGGGTCATTTGTGTGTTCATGCAGAACATTTTGGAGTCTGCCATGTGTTTGTGTTTTCAATGTTAATTGGGCTTTTTGTATTTAAAGAGTTTTTTTAAAAGACACTTTTGGGGTGAAAGGAATAGTTCACCCCAAAATGGAAATTTTATTACATTTTACTCAATCTTAGGATGTTCAAGATGTAGATGAGTTTGTTTCTTCATCAGATTTGGAGAAATGTAGCATTTCATCACTGTCTCACCAATGGATGCTCTGCAGTGAATGGGTGCCGTCAGAATGAGAGTCCAAACAGCTGATAAAAACATCACAATAATCCACAGCACTCCAGTCCATCAGTTAATGTCTTGTGAAGAGAAAAACTGTTTGTAAGAAACAAAACCATCATCAAGGCGTTTTAACTTCAAACCGTTGTTTCCAGCTAAAATCCGAGTCCTCTATCCAAAATATTGCTTTCTCCAGTGAAGTTGTCTCATCTAAATCAGGAGAGAAATCTGCACAGATCAAGCACCGTTTATAAGTGGAAACGGTCCAAAACAGCACTAAACAAATATGTTTGTGTATTTTGATGTGAGAGACAACAGGAGATGGATATTTACACTGGTGCAAGCATTATTATGGATTATGGATTTTTAGCCAAAAGCGGTTAAAAGGTTTAGTAAAAAAACAAAAACTCTTGATGGATTTTTCCTCTTACAAACAGTTTTTCTCTTCACAAGATGTTAACTGATGGACTGGAGTCGTGTGGATTATTGTGATGTTTTTATCAGCTGTTTGGACTCATTCTGACGGCACCCATTCACTGCAGAGGAGCCATTGGTGAGCAAGTGATGCAAAGCTACATTTCTCCACATCTGATGAAGAAACAAACTCCTCTCTACATCTTGGATGGCCTACAACTTTTAAAAATTGTTGCTATCCAGCTTAATTGTGTAACTGAGTTAAGTTTTGTATTCACATTTGTGAATGGGACATGATAATGTAGTGCATGGCAGGAATGACCCGTGTGCGTTTATGTAAATGTGTGTTTGAGATGGCGCTGTTGGGTCACCGGGAACTGAAGAATGTGTGAAATGATAGAGAACGAGATAAACAGTCACAGAAACGTCCTGACATTAATGCCCGACTGAGTCAGTTTCCCACAGTACGCTATTAACATCTAACCTGATTAATCCAGCTGAAGATTCCCTTTGAAAGGAAAGCTCATATTCAGGCACTTCATGATCAAATTCAATCAGAGTCTCCAGGCTGAGCTTCAGATAAGTAGCTTAGTTTTTTCTTCAAAAGATATTTCTTTTTTTTTCTTTCTTTTTTTTTTACTTAGTATCCCATCACACAGAACTGAAATAAACCCAAAGTTATATTTTATGCTTCACTGAGCAGTATGGCTGCATTCATTTAGCAGAATGTGTTTCCATGAAACAAATGACTTTGTTGTTTATTAGAGAATGCTGGGAAAATATCCTGCTGGACTGTCAGTTGTTTTCCCTAATGTTAATTACAGAATTATTGAGGCCTAATACAACAGCTACAGCTAATTAAATTCAACTTTCTTTTTAAACCAGAGGCAGAAAATAACTTAACTCGGTTAATTCCAAATGTTTTCCATGCATTTAAGTGAGAACTAATGTGTTTTGCTCCTTGAATAGTCCAGTGAACCGAATTGCATGTCTTTGCAAGTTTTTAAGAAGTTAATAATAATATTTCTCATTTTCATTTAGTTTAACTTGATGTGCTAAAATAACCAAAACTGAAATACAATGTATATAGATGTTTAAAAATAATTAACTAATAAAAATTATCAAAAAGAATTTCTAAAACATCAACTAAAATAAAAATTAAAACTATTAAATTAAAACAAATTCAAAATATTAATAAAAACCTTAAAAAAGGCATTTTTGTTACTTTAATTAAACGTTAACTTCAAATATTTAAGAATAAATCAATAATAAACTTTTTATTTTTCATTTAGAATAAACTGATGTTCAAAAATAGCTAAAACTGAAATAAAAATGAATTATATAGACATAACATTAACAACAAAACACTTAAAAATCAACTAAAATGGAAAATATAAAATTCAAAACAAATTCAAAAATATGAATGAAAATTATAACATCTCAGTGATAGCAAATAACGCTGGTGCAACTTTGATTAAAAATGAACTAGAGCAATCTTGTTTTCTTGTACCAAATATGGTGATTGTATTTATTTTGTCTGGATCCACCATTGTTTAATGCTCTCTCATAGGAATTAAACAGCTCTGCTCACGTCATTTATAGACTGCTCTTCTATAACTTTTTTTAGATCCTTGAGGCTCAAATGTTGACCGAATCTTGTGGCTGACATCCATATCAGAAATCTTCCGTGCCTCATTTTAAGTGTGTTCGGTATATGTGTCAGATCACAGGTGATGAAACCGTCACCTTGCGAGAAAAGATGATTACATTTGCTTAAGCAATTACAAGGCCAGCAGTGAAATAGACGTGGAGAACAAACCCAGTGTCATTATGTGCTGAAATATCATCTCTGGTCAGGAAATCAATAACAGGCTGTAAGTCAGTGTGAAATGATGTCCTGCCACGGCAGATTGAGTATGCCAGCGCGTAATGTATTGCCTTCACTTTTGATTGACAATAAACAATAATTGTAATGCAAAAGCAAAGCTTCAACCAAAGCTGCACACTAACCGTCTCAGACGTCGACCCGTATAAACGTCTTGTTACTGACAGATGCTTTGAGTCTCCTTTATTGAAATTCCTTTGCTGTTCGATGAATCACTTTGAGCTGTTCTGATTTTAATATAACTGATATATATATTCATACAGGAGGGGCCGAAGGCTAAATTGAATCCATATTTCACTGTGATTGTGTTTGGTCTCTGTGGTGCGGTCTATCACAGCCGGCTCTGATTGGAGGGGAACATCCTCCATTGAACCTCATCTCCAGTGTTCTCATAAACCTCGTCTGTGTACAAATACAGATACAAAAATGGCTCTCTTATGTAATTCTGGGGTGAATTTAGGTAAACTGGCCTGCTTTTTGCCATCTGTTTCAATAAATCACGCACAGACCCAAATTCACCTTTCATACTTCAATCTAAATCTCACAATCTCTCCAGCTCGCATTTCTCCCTGAAATTAATCCATTGATTGATTGACTGACTGATTGATGCATGCATGTTTTTTTATTTATTGATGTATGTATTTATGCATTATCATTACTATGTAAGGAATAATTGATTACGGGCTGTTGAATTATTAGAAAATAATGCACAGCCGAGGTGGTGATGCAGCCACGACTCGCAGTTTGTTTGTTTTTTTTGCATTATTCTAATAATGCAACTGCCCGTCGTCAATTATTGCTCTCTTTTTTTTTTTTTCACGTTTACTGATTCTATTTTATATTTATTGTATTTTATATATATTAGTAAACACTGAAAAACATCATTTTTTTTGGTGCACTGTTCTTTTAACAGGGTTTTCAGTGCATTTTAATACTTGGTTTAGTGGACTCAGTCCTTGGAGAGCCGAGGCCTATTTCTGTATTCTCTGTCCTCCCTCATTTCCAGCAAGAGCTCAGCTTGAGACTGAGGTTTGGAGAGCTTGAAGATCCCAGGGTACAGAAATACAGACCGAAACAATCCCATTTACCCAGAAAAATATGTCTTATTGTTTGTTTTAGAAGCTCTGCTACAACCCCTAGTGAGCTGCCTCACTGCATACTGCCTACAGGTGCTGTGTTAGGTGACATCTTAAAGGAGTAGTTCATTCAAAAATCTACATTTATTGAAAATATACTCACCCTCAGGCCATCCAAGATGCAGATGAGTTTGTTCTTCATCAGATCAGATTTGGAGAAATGTAGCATTACATAACTTGCTCAGCAATGGATGCTCTGCAGTGAATGGGTGCCGTCAGAATGAGAGTCCAAACAGCTGATCACAATAATCCACAAGTAATCCACACCACTCCAGTCCATCAAATAAGGTCTTGTGAAGCGAAAAGCTGCGTGTTTGTAATAAAGGGACT